GTGAATACTGAGATTAGTTATGTCATTTGGGACCACGTCTTAGAACCCTGTGAGGAAATGTTCAAAATTAAGCCATCACACTCCAAATCTGGGTCACATATTCAAATAAATTATCTCAAACCCATTAGAATGGCCATTTCAAAATCCTCCTTTCTGTGCTTTGAGAAATCCCACCAAAGGGAGAATATTGCCTGGGTTCAGATGTGGGATTCCGGCCGGGCCAGCACTGTGGTGACTGCACTCCTTCCTGTTGTGTGCCGGCTTGTTCCTTTATGCAGACAGCTCTGGGCAGGGCAGGACACGGGCCTTGAGGGTCAGGAGGGAGGAAGAGAAGCTTTCTGCCCTGAGGGAGCCCAGTCTCACAGGAGAAGGCCACAGTGGAGAAGTCAGTTCATTCCGAGGGGCGGCGCTCAGCGCAGGTCTTCCTCGCATGCATATTTGCTGCTGGTGCAAGCTCACCCTGGTCCTCGCCTGCACCCTCACCGTCTCCATATGCTGTCAGGGCCACCAGCCACGGTCTGCACTGGAGCCTGTGCGAGGCTGCTCCGGGGCTTGTCCCTGAGAGCACTCTGAGCTCTGGAAGTGTGGAGACAGGAAGCCACAGACAGTTACATTCCCACTCATGGAGTAACAGGATCCAAGCAGAAGGATAGGAAATGGTGTCCAAACTCTCGTCCGTGAGCCCAAGAGCTGGTCCATGGTGGAACAGAGGCACCCAGGTCCCTGCCCAGCACCCAGAGTCTGAGCCCCCCAGCTCTGAGCAGAAAAGCTTCCGGGTGCAGGCCCGCAGCAGCTCCAGGGTTTGCAGGGCCCAGGACTGTTGCTCTCAGGAAATGAAGACAGAAATACAAATGCACGGCTAGGTACAAATGTCATTATTCACTTTAGCAGACAAAGGAAATCAGAGGTGACAGCCCTGGGAAGGTGTGCCAGGCAGTGTGCCAGGCAGTGTGCCAGGCTCGCTGCCACAGAAGCCTCCGCAGTTGCAGCCCGGCCTCCTTCCTGGGCCTCTGAGCTCTCGGGAGGGGGGCGCCTCCGCCTGCTCCCAGGGTTTGGCGGACAGCATGAGCTTTCTGTTCCCTCAGGATCCTCCACCAAATCCCAGCCTGGGGTGCTGGCCTTGTCCTTAAATAAACACAGCCCTCAGGGGAGGACTAGGGAAGCACAGCAAGGACAACGGCAGGGCCTTCCTCTGCAAATCTGGGTCCCTGGATCTCCAAACCCTAACAGAACGACAAATGCTGCCACCTCAGTGCAGGCTCTGTGGCCCTGAGAGTTCTCTAAGGAGTGGATGGAGTGGACAAAGAACCAGAGAGCACCTCTTTAAAGAAAAGAAAATGACACTCCATATTTTTAAAAATATATATGTAAATTTATCAAGTACATTCAACTTCCTACTGAAGTCACACAATTCCAGTGTGGAAAAAGACGTGGGTCTGAACTGGCCTTTCCTGATCCAGAGGAAAAGCACCCCTTCCTCAGGGACTTGTGAGCTTGGGGAGCTGGCAGTGGCTGTCGGAACTGGTGGTTAGAGGCTGGGGGGCTCCTGGTCCCCAGAACCATGAGGCCACTTGTGAATATCCCGGAGAAAGTGGGCTGGGGCCATCTGAGCCTGGGCCTGGAGCTGCTCTGGTCCTTCCTTCCTGCAGGTTGCTGCGTGTCCCTGTGGGATGTGGACCGACACTGTGCCCTCAGCCCTCAACCCCACCAGGCACACATAGACTGTGACACCCACCTTTGCCTGCCCACCTCTGCCTGCCGCGTCCCCTCCGCCTCCCCCTGCTCTGCCTGCCCCTGCTCCGCCTCCCCCTGCTCTGCCTCAGGGACAGGTGTGACCTGCCCGGCTGTCCTCAGACCATGTCCAGTGTGTTCCACTTACTTGCTCTACCGCATTTCCATCTCACTTGGCCTGGGTCCAGGCAAGATCTTCCAGAATAGTTGTGATCACTAAGGGTGGGTGGCCCTGCTCCTGCAGGTTTGGAACTCTGTGACCGGTCACCTCTTTGGGTCGCCTTCCAGCACAGCCCAGGTGTGGTCCCAGGTCAAGAGGAAATTCCTGTGGGTGGGGTCTGAACCTTCTCCCACTCGGGGCTGGGGGAAGCTGGGCCGATTATTCCCCACACTATTGGGATTATGCTATGGGGAACACGAAGATCCCCGAATGGCCACTGGAACCTAGCAGGAGGTTCCGAAACTGGGCAGGCGTCTCAGGACTCTGGGGACGTGAGGCCACCTGTGGGCCCAGCTAGCAAAGGGAGCAGAGACGACACACTGCAGGCAGAAGAAGCCATGTTTTAGAAGCCAGCTTGTCTGGTAGCGCAATGTTCAGGGACCAGGCAGGACTATGGTTTCCATTTGTCCTTTCCTGTGCCTTTCTCTACTTACCACCTATCAGGAGGCACCCAGACCTGAAGGTTAGGGAGCAAGAAAGATTTCTTGCAGACTTCAAATAATGAAAATGAATATAAGCGCTTCCTCCCTGGGGAACACCTGCCCTAACTTTACGTCACCTCTGCCTTGTTTCCCTGGACCTCTGTGTGCAGAACCCTGGGTGAAACGTCTCGTGGGGATCTACACATGCTAGGTCCTCAGCGTAGAAGGGCCAGGGCCCGCCACGTAGGAGACGGGACTGATTTCCACAAGAGCTTTAATGCAGCAGCAGGCTTTGCCAGGTGCAGCGTCCCGTCTGAAGACTCTCCTGGGACAGAGGCCAGCAGCAGGATGTGATCCTGTGCACGCGGGGAAATGCATCCGAGGCTCCACCCTCAGTGCCCCGTCGGTTCCACCTGCCCTTCCCTGCCCATGCCGGGGCTTCCTTGCTCTTCTTGCTGAGGTGCTATGGGCAGTTGCTTCACTCTGTACTATTTCTCAGCGCTGACACTGGACAAGAACAACCACCGATGCCTGCCGGGGGATTTTTCAAGCAAGGCCACACACTTGGACCTGTCAGTGATGGCTGACAGCTATGGCCAGGACTCTGCAGCCTCCACCAGAGCCCCACTTGCCTCATCAGCCATTGAGTTCAGCCTCTAATCCAGTTGCCAGGGCTCCCAGTGCACCCAAAGACATTTTTGGAAGCATGCAGCATGTTCCCAAGTGTCTTCCCCAAGCACCTGGGGAGCTGAAGGGGAAGCTACTCATTTCAAACTGCGATGACTCAAGTTCACTTCCAAACGCACCAGAAATAATTTCTGATGAAGACTGTTTTGCTGTTTTAGACCCTGTGTACCATGCCACGCTGACAAGATCTGAGCGCTGTTAAGACAAAAGCAAGCGAAAACCAACACCAAGAACGGACAGCCAGGTTTGCTAATGAGAACTGGCTGTGATCACTCACGGGCAGGTGCTTGTGTGTTATAAGTAGGGTGGTGAGATGACCCATGCTTCTGGCAGGACCGGGGCCCCAGGGAAAGAGTCGCCTGAGGCAGGAAGGAGACCATGAGCCCCTGGTGACCACTGGGATTGAAACTGGCTTCCCAGGGAGGCTTTCTCTCACAGGCATCCCAGCCCAGCTAACAGACTCAGACAAAAGGCAGCTGAAAACGTCATACCCAATTATCAAACCCCCTTGAAGCACAGGTTTCCAAAGGCTTTTCCAAAAGAATAGCATCACTGACCAATAGCGACCCACCCGAGCAGCCCTTTCTGAGAGGGGCTCGTCAGCCCAGCGGGAAGAGCGCGTGCACGGCGCTTCTTACTTCAGGGTTAATTGTCTTTTTTCTCAGAGCCAATGAGAGCTTGACGAAAGTATGAAAGCTGTTGCTGAATTCCAAGCGGGACGAAGAATCAGCTCTGTTGGATTCCCAGCAACGAGCCGGGTTTTGATTGCTTTTGTCTTGGTGAGGGACAAATTTCTAGTCTGTGGGCCAAAGGACGATCTCTGTTACTATTCAAAGAGTAGGAGCTTTCTGTAGGCTAATATTTTTTGAAATGCAACTCTCACAAATCTTTTGTTTTAGACCACTGATAATATGGCAATTTGTTATTATTTACATAAAAGTAAAAGCAATAAAAAGATAAGCAGGACACACACACACACCACAGAGCTGAAAACATGCATTATGTGAGTCATTTTCCATTTAAAATAACAGGCAAGACACCAGCATATGTCCTGGTTTATACTGAAAACTTCTAGAATGCACTGAGAAGATTTATGGTGGGTTTTTGTTTTTGTCTTTGTTTTTGAAATTAACTGTTTAACTTGATTATATAAAAAGTGCTTGGAAGCATTTTAATTTCTAAGATAATATTTGATGCACCGGGAATTTCACAAAGCGATTATGGAAATAACTCTATGGTAGTTCAGATTATTGTTTTGTCAATGAAATACTGATGTAGGACCAGTGTTGCTTCCGGGTTCTGCTAATATTTTCAGCATAGGCGATATCAGGGGTCCATTCTGTAACACCTGCCAGCTGAACTCAGCTGTAAGACTTGTCACACTTTATTGGCATTTTGTCATTATTTTTATGATTTCAAAAATACAGAATTGATCCCTAAGGGGCAGAAGGGAACCGCCGAGCTTTTCCTTGGCAACAGCTGATTTTTGTGCAGTGCACACTAAGCTCCGCGGATTACAAGTGGCAAATCAGTAGTAAGTAGCCAGCAGCGACGTCCCATCACAGTGGGTTGAGAGTTGGGCTCCTCCCCGCACACACCTTTTTATGAAGTAGCTCTGTGGAAAGGAAACTTCAGGCACTTAATGAAGTCATGAATGAAGAGACACCGAGCAGAGGGTTAGACACAGCACTGCCCACATCACCCGCCGCGTGCCCAAAGAAAAGAAAGTAATATCCACATGACACTGGGCAACGTCTCCATCATCCGGAAAACTGCGTTAAAGGAAATTGTCTCTCAAGTCCTGTCGGTGATGACAGTCTACGATTTCAAAACCTGAGATGGGATACTAACGATCATCAGAAGCCAGGTTTCTAGGACTAAATGTAAGAACATCTTGTCCTGTTCATGCGTTTTCTCATCCCTAACAGAAGGTTTAAAAGTTTCAACTTCCTAAAAAGGAACACAAACAAAAACACAACACAGGCTGACTGGGCTGGAGAGCACGAGAATCTGCCAGACGCCCAAACCACGCAGGACCCACACGCTCAGCGAGCTCAGCGCCCACCGGCTCACACATCCATCACTCTCGGGGGAGCCTCCTATGTCCCAGCGACTCCACAAGCACGGTGGCTTACCCCGGCCGTGGCTTATACTCAGTCGGAGTTAAAAAGGCCATAGTAAGTATGGGCAGAAAAAGGCACTTCTGATGGAGGGAAGTGGAGGGTGTGGGAGGAGGGACAGTGGAGCTTTGGGGCCCTTGTCTAAATGAGACCGTGAGGAGGGGCAGCTTGGCAGGCCACGGGGAGAGGGCAGCCTTAGCCCAGTCAGGGAGGGTCGTGTGCCTGGCGCGTCTGGGAACGGGAAGAGCGTAGCACGCCTGCAGGAGTCTGTAAGGGCAAGCGTCCGACAGGAAGCTCGACTGGACCATGTGGGCTGGGCCTCTGCACTCCATCATGTGGCCGATCGGAAACCGTGGGAGCCTGTAAGCAGAGGACCTGAAATACCAGCGCTTGGGGCTGGCAGGTGAGAGTCAGCACAGCCAGGGAGAGGGCCACCGGCCAGCAAGATGGGAAGGGGCGAAGGCAGTGGAGAAGACAAATGATTAGGGGCTGCACCCAAAGAGAGCTGTGCACAGCTAAGACAAACTTACAGAAACGCCTGTTAAAGACTCAGAGAGAAGCCTAACTACGGTAAAGGTGCAGGCTGGCCTCAGCTGGCTTTGATTGGTGACGTGCAGTTATGGGCTAAAGGAAAAGACGAACCTCTGAAAGCTTCTATTTTCCTTAGACTGGTAATGCTAGCTTGTAAATGGGTGTCCAGCAAGTCTCAAAAATAAATTATTTGAAAACATGAGTTTAGCCAAGTATGATGGCACACACCTGTAATCCCGGCACTCGGGAGGCTGAGGCAGGAGAATCATTGCAAGTTCAAGGCCAGCCTGGGCTACAAAGTGAGCTCCAGATCAGCCTGAACTGCATAGCAAGACCCTCAAAAAAAGGAAAAGAAAACCTGGGTTTCTTCAATGTGGCAAACATTGCCCCTGGAATCACATTTGAATTCTTAGTCGTTTACCAAGTCCATTTAAAAAACGGTTAATGAGTGTTTTAACCACCAGGTAACTGATTCTAGAGTCACTTCTACTCAGTGACCTGTCAGTAGAAGAGGTCCACTGTGTGCCTCTTCACGATTCTGTATCTAAAATGAGGACTGGCGGAGTGGACATTCAAATATCGCACGGTTTGGAGTTGAGCTTGGCACAGGGAAACGACGGCAGAGCTGGCACGAAGGGTCTCGGAGTGGCGGACGTGTTCTGAAAATAGACTGCGGTGCAGGTTTTACAGCTCTGTAAATTTACTGAGGGTCTTTTGCTCATACACCAAAAATGTGTGAAATGGACTGGGGATACAGCTCAGTGGCACAGCGCCTGCCTGGCAAGCTCAAGGTCCTGAGCTCCATTCCCAGTACCAAAAAAACCCTGTGAACGGTACAGTATGTCGATCACACCCCAGTAAAGCTGTAAAAGTCATTACTGGGTACATGTGCTGGGATTTTACATCCACTGAACACGGTGCCCTGCTTCACATAATTGCCTGGCAGTGGTTAGTAGCAAAGTTCCTGTAGTCAAGCGCGTTCTAGGCCAGTGCTTCTCAAAGCACAAGGTGCTGGAAGGCAGCTTGGTGCCCCAGGCAAGGCCAGCTTCCTGCTGTCCTGACTCGCAGTTCTGCCCAAGCAGGCCAAGGGCTGAGGCCTGGAGTACCCCAAGGGAAAAGGGGATGATGTTTCTGCCCCCACTGAGAAGCATCCCAGGGAGGGTGTGCATAATAAGCAGATATGCAAATAAACCCCTAGTCGGCTCAGTGTGGATATTAAACACCCTTCAGAACAAAGCATCCCAGCCAGCTCCACCCCTATCAGTGCCCCACCACCACCCAGGACCCAACCTGGGGAGCTTAGGGCCTCGTGCTAGATTCGTTTCACTCCCCAAAGTCGGGAGGGATGTGGTGTCCTTCTCTTTATTTTACAGGAACAGAGGAGGAGGTTCGAGAGGGGAGAACCTCCTTGAAGGCAACATCGCCCCAGGGCCCGAAGCGCAGAGCTGGCTTCACCCGGCACAGAGGGATGAGGCTTTCCTCACCCCAGGGTGAGGCAGGCGGGAGGGGTTCGCACGCAGCCCTGCGTCCTGTGGGCAGGGTCGGCCAGGCTCTGCCCGTCTCTGTGCCCCAGGACAGCCCTGCGCTCTCCCAGCCTCTGTGCACAGGCAGCTGCTCATTCTGGCCTGTGTCTTTTTTTTTTTTCGTTCCCTGCTCCCGACTTCAGCAACCTTCTGAGGGTCCATTCATCCTCTCCTCTCCTCTCCGGGATTTTGAAGTCCTTCAGTTATCATCTGAGATATCGGTCTCATGCTGCTTCCTTCCTTTTTCAGGTCCCTTATTTCAGCAAAATAAAATCCATCACCAACCCTCGCCGACAGCCTCAGTCTGTGTTTCTTTTACACCAACCACCTGACCTCACGGACTGCGTCAGCCTCACACCTGGTCCTTGGGCAGAAAGCACCAGGGAAGCGGACACAACGCAGGTTCATGGACACTGGGAAGAAATATGTGAAAACCAACAATGCCTTTGTGTGAACACGGACAGCATACGCCAGCATATTTAAACAAGAATGACATTTACTGCAAATAAATGTGGCCATCACTTCAGTTTATTTTTAGTGTCTCTGATTTTAAAAGCCATCTCCCAAGTGGTTATGTTGCTTAGCACCCACGGCACCCTGGCTCTGCCAGGACAGGAGCTGGGGCCCGGGAGAGGGGACATTTCCAGGGCTGTCTTTTCCCCAAGTACATGTATGTGTCTAACGTCACACATCGCTCTCATGTACAGCTTCCATAAATACATATTTGCTTGTCATTTCCACCGGCCTTTTTGGAAACTAGCCGCCTTCTAATCCAGGTGCGAAACCTTCACACCCCCCAAAGAGCCCTCGATTTGATGAGGCCGAACAAGCCCGTCTTCCCAAGAGCACACAGCTGGTTCTCGGGGCCAGCATGCTGAGAGGTCAGCGCCAGCCACCTTGACAAGAGCCTGGAAACAAACTGCAGGTTTTACAAAGCCGGAGGAGAAAAGAGCAGGGAAAGTAGGCTTAAGTATGCAAACGACCCCAGTGTTTAAACAGCTATGGTTTCGGGATAATTATATCAAGTACACAAATCTGGTTTTAATGGCATGTTCAGAAGGGGGCAGAGGGCTGAATGTGTAAGGAATTACGAACTTGGCCCAGTAGCTCTGTTTATTTTAAGCTCTCTGGCTGCTTCGTTGAGGATGTTTACTTAACCAGACTCTATTAACCATGCTAAAAACATTATTGCAGATTTTGTCCTTGTGAGCACATTTCATCCACAAGCTACGGAGACAATAAATCAGACAGAACCAGGTGATGGTGAACTGGCTGAGCAGAGCCCAGGGCCAGCAGGTATCTTCTCCTCTGGAGCCCAAAGGGTTTTCAGTGGAACTAAGTGTTTCTAGGGGCAGAGGCCTGAGCGGACGGACACTGAGCTGTGCTCGCCAGGGACACTGGTGCCCTCCCCTGCTACGCGGAGCAAGGTGGTGGCGGGGCGATGCAGGCCTGGAGCTGGCTCTGGCTACTCTAAGGGTGTTGTTGGACAAGACACGGTAACTCTTCCATGTCATTCAAGCCAGGAGCAAAGAGAGAGACCTAGCCTCGTTTCCCTGTGCTGAGCACAGGGGGCTGAGACGGCGCCTCCCCTCAGGCAGCACCAGCAGGAATCAGTCACTTCGGGCAGCTTGGTCATTTCTCCTTGTCCTCCTCCTCCTGCCCTCCTGCCTTCTCTGCTCTCCTCCCTTCCTCTCCTCTCCCCTACCCCTGTCTTCATCATCATCTTCTTTGTTGTCTCCGGCTCCATTCACCACAGGGGAGCAGGATTCATTTCTATTTTTAAACATTTCAGTGGTTCCTGATAGATTGCTCAGCCTAATAAAAATATATTGAAATACATATTAAAATATCTCGAACGCTTCTATTTTGAATTTCACAAATGTCAGGTTCTCACAAAATAAGTTCCGGATAGAGAGTCAGGAATTTTGTTCTACAAGAAGAAACAAGGACTTTTGCCACACCCTGTAATTATTTATTAAAGTCACCCTGGAAGGCAGTGAATTGGCAGGCAGGAAAAGAAAAGAGAGAAGACCCACACGTTTATCTTTACTGTCTATATAAATCTAAACCCGGCAGAGATTTTAGGCTGTGGCTATCACAGGAATTATCTGATATGTTCTTTTGAAGTTTGTTGAGAAAAACCACTCCAGACATGAACCCACTTTTATGGCATGTGGTTTTAGGGGAAAATATATTACTCTTCTTTAGTTGAAAAATGAACATCCTAAAATATTTCTACCTAGATTAATAGGATTAATAGGGATTAATAGATGAAGTAACTAACATAAGAGAATGATTATATGCTACATTATTTAAAAAGCACATGTGAATGAATTAATAGTATACATTTTTAAATGAGCTGACTTTTTGAGCTTCAAATATAGCCTCTAGTTATTTTATAGATATTCCTGTATATGGAGGCTCACACACAGTGGAATAGGTGATGCTGTTTATAATAGCGCTTAAGATGTAAATAATAAACTTTTTGTTGGTGAACACAGCTTCATTTATTTATAATTTAGAACGGAGGTTGAGAGGCTCACCAGTCATTTGGACCACTTGGGAAATGGCTAGGTTGCGTCTACCCCAGACTTAACTGATAGCTACGTTCACTTGGGAGCCCTTAAGCGTAAATTCTCCTGTAGCCGAGGAATGGGGGCCAGGCTTCAGAAGAAAGGTGGGCTGCGCGGCCTGACCTCTCCTAGCCTGTCTTTCCTCTTGTGCAAAGCAGGGGTCAAAACTTCATCAGACAAACTCTTCAGAAAAGGAGAAGGAGATGATTCCTGCCAACACCTACACTCAGGGCCTAAACACGCTCAGCAAGCTTTAGCATCCTTTCCTAGAGGCAGTAGCAGTGCTTTCCCTAAGGATAAGAGCCACATCGAGCCTGCACTGATAGTCCCAGGAACCGCGGAGCATTTCACGCAGGGAGCTGCAGGTACTCAATAAAACCTGCAGAAATAAGAGGAGGAGGAGAGGATCGGCTTTTGGTGTTGAACCAACTCCTGATCTAAGGTGAGAGACAAAAGTGGCAAGTATGTGTGCCTGACATTTACATGTAACAGTGAGCACTGCCCTGAAGGCACACCTCACATGCCACACCAGACTGGAGACCGGAGTTTGCGGCTGCCCAGGAGCATCTGAGTGAGAATACCGCACGGACTTCAGCGTCCATGAGGATGAAAGACCCGAGGCAGAGGCACCAGGCACTCTGACAGAACCCAGGCCAGGCTGAGCCTGCTGAGACCAAGAACATGACGAGAGCAGGGCCTGGCAGAGCACGTCCCACCCCGGAAGGTGGTGACGGGGGGCAGGAGGTGGAACCAGGGTCTCTGCATGGGGACCCACGACTCAGGGCTGGCAGAGGAGAGGGGCTGAGGCGAGTCCCTGGCTCTCCTTCCTTGTTTCCCCAGGTTTGGACTTAGGTGATAGCAGGACATCTAAGTAAAGTTGTCCTATAAACAGAAAGAAATCCACGACAGGGGATAGGAAAGGTCAGGCTAGGGCAGATCTGGAAACCGTCTGCTCGGAGTCGGGGAGACACATCGAGGCTGGGGCACCGACCTGCCTGAGACATGGTGTGCAAGCCACAGGGCGTTCACACACAGCTGCCTCAACCACGTTCACTTTAAATATTCTGAATTCTCTCTGGGGATTAATGTAGGACCAAACTGTACGTGCTTCTGAGAATAGAAGACTCTTGAGAGATCAGACCCAGGTCTTCCAGTTCATGGGCAAGCAGAAGTCGGGAGGGGCTCGACAGCTTGAGGTGACCGCCAGTAAGATTCTGGCTTCCATCACACAACGAGCAGCAGTCTGCAGGCGGATACATGAGGGACACTGCATGCGCTGCAATTCTATGTTGGCATCATTTCTATTTAGAGACAGTTGATCACTCTGTGACTGTAATTTAGAGCCATCTTTTGTGCTCAGTTAAAATATTTGAAAGGATTGCCCCCAAAACAAACAAAATACCATCAGTAGAACACCAAAGTCTTCTTACAAACCATACATCCCTGTAACAACACCAAGCTGATGTGTCTCAACAGATTTACATTGAAAACATGTCTGCACTTTAGCAGGAGAAAGTCTGAATAACCTATAGGGAATATAGGATTATTTTCCAAACATAATTTTAAGACATCTGAGGTTCCTTCTTTTTAAGCTTACCCCCAGCCAATTAATACGCTTAACTTGAAATGTACAACTTAAAGTATAGAAAAGAGGTACGTTTTCCAAGCCATCTTTTATATCCTGGATAAAACCAAAGGAAAAAATAAAGAAAAGTAGTAGAAACCCAGTGTGGCAGTAATATATGCTGTTAGTTCTCAAATGTTTATTTGGAAAACCCTTCAGTTACTCTCTTGATAATTACTCTAACTGCACAGTTTACTTCACTGACAATAGGCAGAATAAAGAAAGGGCAGATTCATTACGCTGTGAGTTTTACATTTGGTTTTTCTTTGGTAACAGATTATCAAATGATTGTATAGCCCATCACCAGTAAGTCCAAAGACACAAAACTGGCGACCTCCCAAGAAAAGTCAGTCTATCTTTAACCACTGCTCTTGGAAAGTTCATTCACACAACAATGTTTCCCTGAAATTCCCTCATCCATATTGTTTCACGTTTTACCCGATTTACCCATAGGGGTCATGCAAACCACTCATCACAGCTCCTCCGGCCTGGTGACCTTTCAGTCCTGGAGGAAAGCTACCAGGCCCCACAGGCATTTCCATGCTCCCTATCCCTTGCTCCTGTGACCTGTCCCCGGCCCCTTCTCTGCTGGTTTTCTCCACTCTTGGATATTCTTTAATGTTGTACAGTGCTCTCGAGTAGAGACACTCAGCTGAGGAGCTGGGAAAGTCTTTATTTGTATCTTGGCTCCATCACTAACAGGCCCTTTGATTTTATATAGTTTATTTAACCTCTCTGAGTCTTAGTTTTCTGATCTGTCAAGTTGGAAATAAATACAAGCTCAGAGGGCTGTTGCTGTGACTAATGAAGTCATACATGGCGCAGTTCTCAGCCAGCTCTCAACCTGCCCACAGCCCTAATCGGAGTCAGATCTTGCAGGTGAAAAGCAGAGCCCCACCCTCTCGAAGGCCCAGGTATGGTGAGTTAGGTGGAAGCCGAGGAGAGCTGATGTGTATTTTGGTCTTCTTCCCTCTGCTCACACAACCCTTCCCTAAAGAGAGCATCATGGTGTCACTCACAGCATGTACTTCCGCTGAGCATCTGTCCGTAGAGAAAATGCAAAAGAAACGTTGACATTTGGTGAAGGGCAGTTTAGACCAATAAATACAAATGAGGTCACGTTACACTTTTAAATGTTGTTATCATCTAACTTAGTTTTAAGTGTGCTTTGCTTCCTGTGTTAGTCTGTTTTTATTTTTAAAGTTTTGCAAATGTCGTGTCTACCACTGTACATCTCTTACCTAGACAACACATCAGTCCAGAAAGAAGAGCAGGAATACATAAACCAAGCCTGTTACGATCCTGCACGTCGTATGAGCTGCTGCTCTCCTGGG